GTGAGTCGGACTGCGAACCATCCGGATCAGTGGAGCTAGAGGAGGTCGAGTATCGTCGAGATTCCTTTGACTGGATACTCGTCCAAATCTTGCCGAGACACTGATACCTGCCTATGCCGTAGGTGTAGACTTCTCCACTCGACCCGGATGCCACAACAACGTAACTGCCGCTAGCATAAAGCTTCAGGTTGCCGACAGGCGGCGGAGCCAAAACCGGCATCCCTGGAATATTGCCAAAGCACTGGACCGGCGGTGTAGTCAGAAGCGTTGTAATGTGCTCTCCATTTCTCAGAGAATAGACATCGACTCGCGTTTGGTAATATTTCAATTCGTCCTTATTGATACGACCACCAGAGATTGACGGTCGACCAGCTGGGATCTCGTTTGTTTCGGACCCGGTAGAGGAGGCGTGGCCCTCATCATCGGGTACAGAACAGGGTCCATGAGTAATGACAGCAATATGGGGTCTGGATGTGGAATTCGGGTCATTCGCCGAGGTACTCGTCAGCAACTTGGCCTCGATCACCCGACCATTCAGGCCGGTCAGCTTGCCCACCAGACGAGTCTTCTGATCTTCTATGGCAAGAATATCTAGAGCACCGTCTGTACCGACAAGAAGGACGTTGCTCCCTATCCTAGACGCCTTGAACCACTGGCTCAAAATTGTATCAAAGGCACAGAAAGAGTAGCCCCCGTCACTGATCGGCCTACTTTGTGCAGAAGACACGGGTAACTCGATATCCGGTGCGCCGTAAAAGTGGGCCTGCGGTAAATGGGGCAGGGGTATCTGGTTGTTGAATGGGCTGCTGACAGGGTTACTCTTGTGCCGGTCTGCAGACGGTTGCCTGGACGTATTGCTAGTAGAGTAACCATGTCCATAACTCAAAGGCCTTGTCCTGCTGGAAGGCGAGGCCGATGAAGGCTGGCTGAACCCGCCTTTATCATGACTTGTGAGAAAGCCAAACGGTGATCCGCTAGCAAATTCACCATCTGTCACGTCATTAGGTGGGCTTTTGCCGAAAGGGATAGACTTGGCCCAAGTATCCGTCCGGTAGGTGACATCATTTTCCGGGGAATCTCCCAGCGAGTCCAGGGCGTCGAGAACGGGGGACACAATATTGTGACTAGTCGGAGGCTCTAATGTAGGATTTGGGCAAGACGACGGCTCTGCCAGCAGAGGTGGTGAGAGTTCCTCTCTGTAGCGTAGACCACAAGGTTGGCCGTTTGTTAGCTTTGTTTCATGCGGTAGAGTGACTTATGCTTGACAAGGTTGGACTTACAGGTCGCCCGGTGAGGACTTGGCCGCTGCTTTCGCCGCTTTAGCCTTGGCCTTTGATCCGCTTTTTCCTTTCTTCTTGCTCTTGCCCCCAATTTCATGCTCCAGGTTCGAACGGTTATTATCCTCGGGAGGAATGGTGTCACCTGAGGACCGGCTCTGCTGGCGAAACAAATCGTCCGAAGCTGCCGGTGGCATTCAAATGGAGGGTCTGCCTGCTAAGAGGCAGTATGATTTCGAGAAGGTGACCGCTCTCAGAGACCTTGGCAAGGTCTGAGAACGGGTCTGACAATATGGTCGACCTGCAACGAAAATCGCGCTCAGGCCGGGTCTGGAGGGTTGTAGAGAAAGCCCTTGGGAGGCAACGCTGCGAAGGTCAACAAACGCTTATCAGCATGAGTCATCGACAGACAGGAATGTTCAAGCGCTTCAGGAGACTACTTACGAAGGAACTGTATCGGATGCAAATGTACTCGAGGTCAAAGACGCGTGAGAAGCGTGTCGGGTTGTCGCAGCTACAACGACAAGCCGCGACCAGCAACGTATCTAGAGCGGGGACCCGTTCACTGATATGGCGGTAGATAGATAGTAGATCTGGGATACAGGACAGCTCGGCAGCACAGCTGTAACCGTCTGTCCTCGATATCGAAGGTAAACAAGGGGGTATGTTGATGTTAAATATGAGGCTGAACCAAGTGGTGGACAAGTAACAATGAGATCACAGTAGGTAGAATGAGGAAGAGAGGATGTTATCATCCGGAGGGAAGGGAAATAGGGAAAGGAGGGAAAGGAGGGGGAGGGGAACCGGGTCAGGGTCAGGAGCATGGATGACATCTCCATGGTTAGTAAACTTATCTCCTATCAGTAACTTAACTAAGTTAACTAGGTAACTTAGGTAGTTTACTGCCGGTTACTACGGAGTACATAATGTACATAGTGTACAATGTGTAGAGTACCTCGTACCTTGTTAGTACGTCCGTAAGGTTTCCGACCGACTCACCACATGACGCGGAGCAAATGATCATTGGTTATCAGTTGGTAGGCATGTAGTAGTATACACTACCTAGTACCTACATGATTGAAATCCTAGGTATGACCCCCATAACATGACGCAAGCTGGTAAAGTCACGAAGAAACCCGGGAGACCTCTCAGGGAGATTCTTCTTTACTGGTAAAGTACTGCACTCTCTGCCACTTAACTTATCACTCTCTCGCAGGTCTCTCTCTCGAGTCCCTCTATCTGGCTGGCTGCCTTAATCGGGTTCTCCTTGTGGTTAGTCAATGATCTGCAATTACCATACCGTACAGTATTCTTTTGATCCATTTACCTTTCCCCACTGTACCGGTATGAAGCAGGACAATCAATAGATACACGGATCGGACTCCAGTGGTCTTCTCCAGTGGTCCTCTCCACCCCGGTGCAACGCCCGCATGAGGGGTAATAATCGATGCATGCACCCTTTGCAAACCCGGCAAACACCGCAAGCCCGACGCGCCGATACGCGGGTCCCTCGTAGTCACGTGACAGATGGCAAATGATGCAGCCAAACAGCCATCACTACCTGTGCATGTGTTGTTGACCATGGATGGACTGGAACAGTCCTTGCCTGTATCCTCCCCAGTGTTCCAGGTTCCAGTGGATCCGCATGAAGGGGACTCGGGACTCTTGAGGCATTGGACTCTGGCTGGTGGCTAACTATGGTGAGGAGCATTCCCTGGCCGGGCCCAACTATTCCTGGGGGGCTTGAAAAAGGCGGTCGGGTCATTGACCCTTCACCACCCCCTTCAAGTCACGGGGACCCCGCTTGAGCTGCTGCACTGCCATCATCTGTAAGGCCCCCGTCGGTCATTGGCACGTCCCCCTCCTCTCTCTCTCTCTCTCTCTCTCCCCCCCTCTCACAGGGCTGTGACTGAGATCTTACGTGGTGGCTGCCCATTCCCCCGGTGTGCCCTTCATATAACTTGAGATTTGACAAATGTCTCTCGAAATGTCAACATGACATTATCCACACCACACCCCTCTTCGGGTAGGTCTCTCCTAAATCCCTGGGAAGCCAGCAGCGCCTCACCTGTGACCTGCCGTATCCAAGGATCTCTCTTCGTCGAATGATCGCACAGCTCGTCATCGGTGCTACTTCCATTACCACGCGGTTGGCTTGCAGGGGGACCTGAGGAATGCAGCTGGACTGGCAGGGAAGTCATAATCTTACTTAATTGAGGACGATAATTGTTATCGTTCAACAATGATGCCATCTTGTTGCCAGACTTGCCTCGGGCAGCATTTCGCATTCGTGCATTTTGAAGCATTCATTCTCCGGCTTAGTAACGAGATCCAGGTCATCTGATGGCATGTCCTTTCAGTCATTGGTGTCGACATTGGGAGTCATCCAATGGCCATAGGAACCTCTGAAAAAGGTTGTTCCGTGCTTTTTGAGCCCACATACGGAGCAGTCCAATGAATATCTGTTTCATGACCACAGATACTAATTGGGTCCTCGGATCATCCACCGCTCATATCGACAGAGCCCGTCTTTCTTTAAAAAATCGCTGGGAAACCTTGTGGGACAGCGTGTTCTGCGATAGGTTGTTTACTAGTTCATGAAGCGGAGTCAGACATACGACGATCTTTCCCTGAGATTCTAACCGCGATTTGACAACGCCTTAACAGTTTTCACTGCAGCCCATGCTCGTTTGCCCTCGAGATGGAAGTCACGGACATGAGCTAGCGATCTGAGCTCCGTTGTAGCTCACTCAATCTTGCCGGATCTGTCTGCCTAATAAAATGGACTTTCCATTCCCACATATATCAAGCGATTCCGGGGTTCAGATCAGTGCGGTAGAGTATAGACTGTTGTTGAACTCCTCCGCCCAAATTTGCCATTTTTATCGAGTCTTCTGGCATCAGTTGAAGGATAATCACAGCAAGACCCCCTGTTAGCTGCCCGAGATGAGGATACTTTGGTTTCCGCAGACAGTATCCAGCCGTAAAGTACTAAAGACAGGGGTTTGTCCAGCTTGGGTTAAGTCCACATCATGCTGCTCTATCATAATGACCTTCCCGCTCCTGGGCCAATGCGGAGTCAGTATACCTGCAATACTGCATGGTGTATGGCCGATACACTGCGAGGCTAATGTTACGAGAAGTCGATGAGACCAGTCACAACGTACTGTACGAGCTAAGCATGTTTCATCGGTGCAGGCTTGAGGTTGCCTTGCTTTGTTTGGTGCTTATGCCTGCGGTCTGGTAGACATTCTACAGCCCTGTCCCATGGATGAGATCTAGACCTACCTTGAAAGGTAGTGCAATGTTTCTGCCCTGGTGTCTAGACCCGTAAGGCTGGGGCCCTGGCCACGAAAATACGGTTGGCGATTGCACCCAACGTATCGGAGGATTAAATTCACCAAGTCGGGATGTGGTGATTGCATTCTATTGTATTTTATTGACGTGGAGTGTAGCAACATGCACTATAAAAAACCCCAGCTTCGAGCACGTGATGATAGTCTCCTTGGCTCCACTTTTTATGCACAGTATACTGGCAAGAGCTACGGATTTTGGACCAACGCGTTGACTGCGAAGCTTCCCTAAGCCTGAGCAGCTACGCAACTTCATGGCAAACAAATACTCCGTTACAGGAACCCACATGGTGCTTACCACTCATACTGAGATGACTAGCCGTGGGCTAGCGTCTAGTATGGGACTATTCCTTCCCCCTATATCAGTCCTCGCAAATAACTTGCATTGGCCTTCTACCACCTTTGGTTCTATATCTGAGAGTACTAACCATGAAGTTTGCCATGAAGCCTACCTGGGGCGTAAGCCTTGGGGAAAGACTCCAATTCAAAATTGTATTGCCAACAATCGCGGAGAAAATAAGTACTGTACAACCGAACACGATTAATGCCACGTAGTCTCCAGTCCCACGAGACCAGATCTCAAGACTTCTTCTTTGCAGCAGCTGCCTGTGCCTTGGCAGCCTTCTTCTTGTTGCTGTTGATCATAACAATGCCTATGAAGGTGCCGACCACAGCGGAACCAAGCAGAGTGAGAAAGACGGGGATACGGATGGCCCAAACACGCGGAGGGAAGAGGTCGTGGAGAGGGTGACCGGGATCAACGAAGGGCTAACGAGCTGTCAGCAATTGTGCAGAACTATGCTGTGAGGAGGGAAGATGAGCAAGCATACCATCAACAAAGTCCACGTGGTATAGTAGAGGAAGATCGCGGTCGCGACCAGAAGCATGGCGGATCCGACAATAGTGCCCAGCTGTTCAGTGTAAGTGATTGTCATCTCATATATTGCTCAGTAGAAGTAGAACCACGTATCACATACCATACTGATGATCAATTATGGAGCCGCGGGGGGATGTATGAAGGGAGAGCGAGAAACGCAGAAGGATGACGGATAAGTGAAGATGGGCTCTTAATGCGCATGGCAGAGAGACAACTGGAACTGCCCGCGGCCGGGCGCCAGCCTGGCTCCAACCACGCTCACGTGATCGTGACGGGGCGCCGCGCTAAGACTTCCTTTCCCTTCTTTCGCCGCCCGCCCATCACGAGAGCTCCGACCAACGTCGTGTTATCCCGCGGGTTCACCACCACTGTCAGGGCAATCCTGGATTTTGACCCCGAACAAAGGATGACGGATCCCGTTGTGTTGCAGTCTGCGGTGCGAGTGCCGACTCCGCCCCCAGATGCCTCGTACTCTCCCCAACCTTCAGCATCTCGCAAACGCTCACCTCCCTCTCGATCCCCTTCACCCGACCGTCGCCGCTCGCCACCAGGCGACTCGCACGATGGTGGCCTCGAAGCGCCGCGCATCGACCCGGAGCGCGCCATCGAGCGAGAGCGTCAGCTTGCGGAGCGCGTTCGACAGCATGAGAAACAGGAAGCCGCCGCGAGGAAGCCGATGACGGAAGAGGAGAAGCAGGCGGCCGCCAAAGCCGAGTATGAGAAGCTGTTGAACATGCGGTCGGGCGGTACCTATATCCCCCCGGCTCGACTGCGTGCGCTGCAGGCACAGATCACCGATAAGACCAGCAAGGAATATCAGCGGATGGCTTGGGAGGCGTTAAAGAAGTCGATCAATGGTCTGATCAACAAGGTCAACGTTTCCAACATCAAGCATATTGTCCCGGAGCTGTTTGGTGAAAACCTGGTGCGCGGCCGCGGTCTGTTTTGCAGGAGCATCATGAAAGCTCAGGCGGCTAGTTTGCCCTTCACGCCCATCTACGCTGCCATGGCTGCTATCGTCAACACAAAGCTGCCGCAGGTCGGAGAGCTCCTGCTCAATCGGCTGATTGTACAGTTCCGGAAGGCATTCAAACGAAATGACAAGGCTGTCTGCATATCATCTACCACCTTCATCGCCCATCTGTGCAACCAGCAGGTTGCCCACGAGATGCTGGCTGCCCAGATTCTTCTTCTCTTGCTCCACAAGCCTACGGACGACAGTGTTGAGATTGCGGTTGGACTCACACGGGAAGTTGGCCAGCATCTGGAAGAGATGAGCGGACCCATTGCGCTCGCGGTGTTCGACCAATTCCGCAACATTCTTCACGAGGCGGATATCGATAAGCGTGTGCAGTATATGATCGAGGTGCTGTTCCAGGTTCGCAAGGACAGATACAAGGACAACCCCGCGATCAAGGAGGAGCTGGACCTGATCGAGGAAGAAGATCAGATCACACACCAGATTGGCCTTGACGATGAGATTGACACTCAGGACGGGCTGAACATTTTCAAGTACGATGCGCAATGGGAGGAACACGAAGAGGCCTACAAGAAGCTGAAGGCGGACATCCTAGGAGAAGGCAGCGACGATGAAGAGGATGAGGATGAGGACGAGGATGATGACAGCTCGGATGAAGAGTCGGAAGAAGAGCGGAAGATGGACATCAAGGATCAAACCAACGCAGACCTTGTCAACCTCCGCAGAACAATTTACCTGACAATCATGTCCAGTATAGATTTCGAGGAATGTTGTCACAAGCTGATGAAGATCTCCCTACCAACGGGTCTCGAGTCCGAGCTTCCATCGATGGTCATCGAGTGCTGCTCGCAGGAGCGCACCTATTCCAAATTCTACGGCTTGATCGGTGAGAGATTCGCCAAGATCAACCGCTTCTGGTCCGACCTCTTTGAAACCTCATTTGCCAAATACTACGACACCATCCACCGATACGAAACCAACCGACTACGCAACATCGCCCGCTTCTTCGGTCACATGATCAGCACCGATGCCATCGGGTGGCATGTGATGTCCATCATTCACATGAATGAAGAAGAAACGACGTCCAGTAGCCGTATCTTCATCAAGATCTTGTTCCAGGACCTGGCGGAGCACATGGGCTTGCCCAAGCTTCAAGAACGCATGCGAGACGAGATTCTGCGCCCCAGCTTCGAGGGTATGTTCCCAACGGACAACCCACGCAACACCCGCTTCTCGATCAACTACTTCACCAGTATCGGTATGGGTATTTTGACGGAAGACATGCGCGAGCACTTGAAGAACCTCCCCAAGCCCACCATCCCTGCCTTGCCTCAGCGCGATGGAGGCGACGAGTCAGACGCGGATTCCGTCTCGTCGCATCCCACCAGCTGCTCGACTTGCTCGCCCCGCTCCCGCTCCCGCTCCTACTCCTACTCCCGCTCCCCTTCGCCAGGCCGCCGCCGCAGACGCTCTGTCAGTCGGGGCCGGTCCTTCAGCCGCTCTGTGTCGGGCTCGTCCCGCCGAAGCTACAGCTACACGCCGTCGCGGTCTCCCTCGCCGGTCTCTAAGAACCGTCGACGTTCAGTCTCCTACAGTCGGTCTCGGTCGCGATCACCTGCGCCCCGTAAACGCTCATCCGTCTCGCGGAGCCCCCGTCCTCGCCGAGGCCGGGATCGCTCCTACGATTCCCGTTCCCCTCGTCGGAGTGTGAGTCCCTACCCAACTCGACGAGCCCGTTCCCTATCCCGCTCGGTCACGCCACCCCGCAAACAGGCCGGCAGCGGTCGCAGTTACAGCCGATCACCCTCTCGGTCCGTGACCCCGCCCCCTCCTGCGCGTCGCGGCGCGCCCGCAGCCCGTGCTGGGGCCCGCCGGTATTCCGAATCTCGATCGCCTTCTCCTCCCCGCAGGCGGGTTGCCAGGAGCATCTCGCGGTCTCGGTCTCGGTCTCGGTCTCGCACCAGGTCAGTGTCGGTGACGGCGCGGCGGCCGCCTGCGCCCATCCGTCGTGGCCGCGATGCTAGCACGTCCCGCTCACCAGCACCACCGCGGGCTGGAGGAGGAGGAGGAGGAGGAGGTCGGAGACGGTACTCAGATTCGAGGTCCCCTTCGCGGTCGCCCGTGCGCCGCCGTGCATCGCCTTCGCAGACCCCACCCCGCCGAGGCCGTGACTAGTAGTGTATACATTGATGAGTGAAAGTTTGTGGGTCAAGAAGGGAAGACTTCAAAATGTCATTTTTTTTCGCCGCCGTTGTGCTTATCATGGGATTAATCGGGCCTCATTATAGTGTGTATCTAGTTTGAAGCGATCAAAAAAAGACAAACATGCAGCCAGGCCTTAGTCATGTTTCAAGACTCACTCTAAGATATGATCAATTATGGGATTCTTGTAGAGTACCAACGGACATCAAACGTACGGCAGCTCACAAGCTGTTAGCCCTACTAGCCGTCCTATCCACTTCTATATATCTAGCCTGTTATATATGTATGTCTATCACCACCAGGGGTATCTCAAATCAATCTCTAATATCACCGCAATCCATAAAGCACAGGGACCCTTCGCCCTACCTACCATCCTATCACATGCACGCGATGCACATGAGACACGCAAAAAGGAGGAGATCACATCTCCCCGGCCTCAAACCGACACCTCTCACACAGACAGAAGCCGCCCAGGGCGCCGCGGGCCCACTCCCGACGATCTTTGACCCCCAGCCCGATATCACAGTAATGGTTCAGGATCTCCTCGTCCTTCTTGATCCCGGCCCCGACCCGCCTACACGTGGGCGCAGCCGCAGCATCGGCCTCGGAGGGCAGATTCCACACGGCGCGCTCGGCCTCCGCGCGGGCGACGAAGGTGATCTCGCCGCCCCACTCCCAGCGGACGTTGGGGTCGCACGAGTGGTTGGCCAGACACCACAGGGGGTGGACGGCGCAGAGCTCGGGCCCGCCGTCCCAGGTGGAGAGGCGGCCGGAGGCGGTGCCCCGGAACTTGGCGTACAGGGTGTTGAGGACCCAGGTGTCGTAGTGGCGGAGGTGGGCGTAGGGGTCGATCTCCATCTCCTCGAGGAGGCGCATGGGCTGGAGGATGTTGAGCTGGAAGGAGAAGGGGAGGGTGCCATCATTCCCCGATGCGCCGGGGTCGGGGTCCAGCGGGTCGGGGTGGCCATAGTCCACGAAGTCGCCCCAGATGAACTTCACCTCCCCCAGCTCCAGCGGATGTACCTCCTGCGTCGCCGCCATCGCCAGTGCCCGCCCCAGCAGCAGCAGATATAGGTAGTCTGCCTTGTCCTTCGGGTCGGGGATGTCCTTGCCGATGGACTCGAGGTTCTCCATCAGCCCGCACACGGCCCCGTGGTAGACCTGCTGGGCTTGGTCGTGGCAGGCCTGCGAGCAGAAGATCGTGTCGTCGCAGCCGTTGGCGCACGCCACGGGCGGCGCGTCGGCCGAGAGCTCCGGGAGCGGGCCATTGCAGGCGTCGCACAGGTCGTCGTGGAGACGGTTGGTGGCGGTCAACAGCGAGTTTTCGCGGAGGATGGTCTCGCCGGGCAGAATGTCTTCTTTGGCGAAGAGCCCCAGTTGGATGCTGACTTCTTCTGGTTGCTCTTGTTCTTGGTCTTGTGGTTCGGAGGAGGAAGAGGGGTTCGGCTTGGTGATAGTGATAGAGTGCAGCGCCGGTAATGCGACAGCCCGGACCTCACACTTGGGCGCCACCGTCCGTAACTTTCCGTTCAGGAGGGCCAGAGTCTCGGGGGATTTGCGGTCGGGTTCGTGCGTGTTCCAGGGGTAGAGGACGCGGCGGGCAAGACCCTGTGCCGGCAGGGCGCTGGGATCGTCAATCACGATCTCCGTGGTAGAGGAAGGGAGATTGCGTCGGCGGGCGAACTCCCGTTGCAATGTCGCCAGTTGTGCCGCTAAGGTGGCGTGGGCTTCACGGTCTGAGGAGGTCTGGTTGTCGCTAGTGCTGCCAATACTACCCAAGCCCCGTGCACAGAATTCATATGCGTCACGGAAGCAGCCACAGCTGACGAGGGAGCGGACTAATAAGGCGTAAACGGGGTGAATGAGGGCATCGTATTCGGACTGCGTAAGTGGAGTGAACTGGTCATCGTCGTCGTCGTCGTCGGCGGCGGCGGCGTCATCAGCAGCGTTGTTACTATCGCGAGCCTTTGACTCCGTGATCTCCGGAGAGTCGTGAAATCTGCGTCGGGCGTGAAATTCGCAGCCGTCCGGGTCAACGACCGAGTCGAGGAGAGATAGTGCGCGGTACGCATCGGCCGACGCTAGATCGGGGAATCCCAGTTTCTCATGCACGAGACCTCGCTCATAGTAAAGGTGTGGATTGTGAGGATCTTCGTAGAGCCGCGTTGTTACATCAGCTCGTTCCTGCAGGGCTGGCATCTTTGACTGTCGGAGAATCCTAATCCGTTCGTTCAATCTGGCGAGGGCGAAGGAGAGGAAAAATTTCAGGATGAGGGATCGAAAATGCGGGGAACCGATAAGAATCCAGTCACGTGGAGATAGAGCGAGCCTACAGAAGTATCTTACAATACAGACCTGGACCTGACTACCGTGGACTTTAATGCGTCCTCCGAGCTCAACTTCATATCCATGGATATCCACGAAGTATCTTCAGAGAGGATGATGTGACTTTGTGGGTTTAAATGCTTTTCGTACCGAAATATATCCAGTAATGGAACGCATATTGACAGCCAAGCTACATGCTGCGAAAGGTTGCATGACAGCAATCTTGCATGAACCAAGTAAGATGATGATAGGGGGATCAGACTTGAAGAAAAGACCAGGGATAGAACGAGGACAAAGAGGGAAGTGTCGCCAGCCAACTGGGATTGACCGGTTCGAGGCCACCGTGTAGGCCGTGACATAGAGTTAGGCAAGACCCACCGATTCACATCACCTGCAGGCATCATAACTATCAATTCCTGTTCGAGCCAGCCAACACTATTCTCACTTACATGACAGCTGTTCTCATCCAAAACCAGAGTGGCATGTTCCCCTTCCCCACCAGCCTCCACATTGTACTGCTGGTCCCGCAAGGTGGTAGCAAGACGGGCTAGCATGTGTCTCTGCACAAGTATCAGCATGGGAATCCCTCCGACGCGAGGAAATGCACGTACGGTAATTGACGCCTCGCTCATCCCGCCTTGGCGATCGACATCATTCTGATTCATGATTCGATAACTGTCATGTAAGCGTTTTCGAGTAGCCAACCCCCCAATCCCTCTCACATTAGGCCCAAGCGTATTGGCGGGGTTATCGGGATCAAGAATGTTGATTCCACGGCGAGCGTCATCCTGTGCACGGCGGTCGGGTGAGAAAATCTTGATGGTGTTGTCAATCCCAGAAGCGGCTATAGTAGGCTCATAGGGATGTCCTGCAAAGGATCGTTAACCACTGGGCATCAACGGTTCCTATCTTCGGCAAACCTACCCTGGACCACATTGACGACCTCACTGTCGCCTTCTAGGATGTTGACTAGCTTGCATGTTTTCCGATCCCAAATGAAAATATGGCCCGAGTCACTTCCACTGACGACAAACTCATCGTCCAACCCATAGAAATTGACATCCTTGACTGTCTTGACATTGCAGTGGCCGCGATACACGCGCGTATGTGAGGAACAAGGAACATCCAAATGCACATACTCTCTTTGTCTGGGGTGCAGCCCGTACTCCCTGAACATGCGACTTTCAGCCTCGGAGTCGTCATCGCTGTCGTCCGCTGGACTGTCAGAGTCCAGATCAAACTCATCCTCCTCCCCTTCTTCCTCATCATCATTGTCGTCGTCTTCAATTTCGTTTTCATCATCGTCCTCAGCATCGTCAAGTCCGTCCTCTTCATTCTCCTCCTCTTCATTCTCCTCCGAGTCATTCTCGGTTTCACTACCCATGTCCAGCCACCCTGGGAAGCTTGGGATGCCAGTTAAAGACGAGACTGACTCGGTTGCTTCGCTGGGACAGTCATCGGATGCTTCTCTGCTGAGTTGCTGGCCCCGGAGTACTTTCAACCGTACGTCGCGGATAGGTTCCTCTTCCATATTTGTTTCCAGGTCGTTCTGTGACCTCTCCGGATCCATATCTGATTCAGAGCCAGGCGCCACCGTGGCCCGGAAGCCTCCAAAGGCTCTGTTGACAAAAGCATAGTTGACGCCGGTCCCGCTCTCCACGAGTATGCCGCGAGCCACCTTCAGCACCCAGAACTGTGTAAGCTGAAACAAATCGAGGGCATGAGGAGGTGTCTCGTTAGAGTTTGCCCTGTCAACTGCCCCGCCGTGCGTGGCCCCGTTCGATGCTCCGCCGTCAACCGGAGTTTGAGCTGACGTCCTGATCGCAGTGGCGAAGGCGGCTACCGCTTCGCGTTGAGTTGAGAAAAGAATACGAGCCTCGTCGTGTTCGAACCTAGATGCATCAACGTTCACCACCGGGGCCTCTCCCGCTAGCCGCTGAAGATAAGGAATGAGGGTTGACTCAATCGCACGGTCATCCGCGGCTTCAGGGATAGGAAATCTGCTGAGCGTGTCCCGACGAATGGGACCACGCTTGAAGCCCGACAGCAGAGCTTCTCGACCCCCTTCTACATATAGTATGATGGCCTTGATAAAGTCATAACCAAATTGCTCTCTGCGATCGGGCGCGTATTCAACTTTCAGCGGCGATATTTGTTGAAACTGCTCCATCTCGTTGTCAACGTCCCCAGGCGGATTTTGAAGCTCGCCTCCTAGAGCTCGAGCTATCGTTCCTGCAGCCTGAACAAAGCTCCAGGCGGACTCTCGGTTACGACGCAGAGTTTGCTGAAAGCGCACCATATCTGAAGAAGGATTGAGCGGATAGCCCCATGTGCGCATGACCTCACTCATCTGCGGCAGACAGATGGCCGCGTGGCCCAATGCTGTGGAAAAGGACTCGCCAAAAGGCGTCAGATCCGTTGCACTAGCTAATTCGAGCTCTTCGCGCGCTGACGTATCGAGCGAGAAAAGAGCCTTGCGAAGCTTGACTAGTTCTTTGGCAATACGCATGCTGAGCCTTTGAGCGTCACTGAGCACTGCCAGCCTCGATTGCTCTAGTAAGCTCTCCGGAACCTCAGCCCGACGCTGCGTCAGAGATTGGATAGGAATGTCCTCTGACTCTCCATTGCCGTAACGCACACGAAATGCCAACTCGCCTTCGTCCTGAGGGTCTCTGGGTCGACGTCGCGAGGGAGGCTGGTTACCGCTCGAGTCGGATAACAATGACGTGCCATTGTGTCGCTTTCGCTTGCGGTTTGTGCTGTATCGACGTTTCCGCGGCGCAGGTGTTGCCCGCACTGATGACTGCTGCGATCTCACTTCTCTCGCATCTGCGCTGCGGATGAGATCAAAGCTATAGATGTGGTCGCCCGACCAGCTGACCACCATCTCATTCGGATTCGCATCGCTGATCTTGCAGGCTGTGATATGGCCGTCATCCCGAGTCTTCATGCGATCCTGCCCATCAGGCGCGAACCGGCGAACGCACTTGGTCGCGTCATCCAAAACGTCTGCTCCTTGGCTACTACTCCCAGGAGACGCACTTGAGGCGCCCCTCTCGGCGATGAGGTCCCGACCTAACATGCGCCGATCGTGCAGGAAGCAATGTAGATGTGCACCGCCCAGCGCGATGTAATGTGGTTGACTAGGAGAGCATGAGATGGTGTTGAGATCCAGGCGGTATTTCTTGTACGAGATCAGCGGCGGGGGCACATTGGAATCATCGTGATCCTGTCCCGATCGGAAAGACATGTAGCCCTGGCCTCCCAGAGGTTTGGGATAGGCCGAGGAGGGCTGTCGCAGATCCCATTGGCGTACTTCTCCGTCCTCCGAACAGGTCAGAAAGAGATGCGGAGACGACTCAGTAACTATGCGCTTGACCCGGTCGGCATGGCTACGATAAACTTTTGCGTTGGTGGTTATCGGGCTCAGATAGTGAGAGGTGTTGAAGAAGTTCTGAAAGCGTCGACTTCTTGCCGATGAAGCAAAGGTCGAATTTCCACCCAGGTGCCCATTGCTACTGGAATACTCAATGTCGAAGACTCGGACCTGGGAGTCCCCGGCGCACGAGACTAGGGTTCGATCATTGGAATGTGGCATAAATTTGACGGAAAAGATATTGGCAGTATGACCAGTGTCGATGGTGGTGCTGAGGGCAAAGGGTGCTGCTGAAGAGTCGGATTGATAGGCGTAGATGTTCAAGTGCTGATCATCCGAACCCGAAGCCAGCAGGCGGCCAGACCGCGACCAGCTGTTCTCTGTCAGAAGGCGGGAACGTCATGGTGCATAAACTAGGGGTAATAAATTCTAATCAAACATGATGATAACGGAGATGGTAAGGAGAAATACAAGACATATACTAGTTCAGAACCAGCCGAGGGTTCCGGATGGGGGAGTTAGGAATGAGGATAGATAGGCAGATAGATACATACCTCAAAGCATTGACACAACCCGAGTGACCGCCGAGCTCGTTTACAATATCAAGGTCCTGAACCCATTCAGGAGAGCCATAAAGGCCACGAATGCCAGCCAAGTGAGAAAATCCTCCAGATTCTCGACGCCAGATACGATCGTAGAGAGACTCTTTCATTGTGGAGGGAGGGGGGGGGTGAGGAGGTAAAGCCGGGTTTGGGTGGGTGGGTGGGGGGGTTTGGTGATCGAGACTGGCGGTCTTGTTACAAGACAATTACCAGGTGTCAGACGGTATGATTACCGAACAAGTGTGGATCATTGCGCTGCGGCGGGAATGTGGAAAGAAGGGGAGAGGTTGAAAAGAGAGAGGAAAAAAAGAAAAAAAAAAAGAGGAGTTGAACCACTGCAGCCCGAATGACGTCAGACTGGGGTTCGCGCAGATAAACGGCGGCGCAAAGCTCTCAGTTGCTGCTGATCCTGGCGTGAGGCGAGGCCCGACATAAGAAGTAAACTGAACGCAGGCCCGCGGAGATCTTGTGGTGACTGGTGATGGACACGGTCGACAGGTCTGCAGCCATCCACACCTGGCAGGTACAGCAGCAAGTCCAAGTAGATGAATTTCCAGTGAAGGTGTCACCGTGCGATTCGCAGTCTAAGTAGAGTTGGCTTGAGTCAAGTGGTGTCAAGTGAAGTGGTGGAAGTAAAAGAAAAGGTTAGGGAAGAGCAAAGAGCGCGGGAAGAGAGATAGTAGAAAGAACGAGAGTGAGTGAGTGAGTGGGAAGGCAACTTGGAAGAATACTAGGTAGGCCCAAAGACGGACTGGGGTCCAGATTGTTTCGGGTATATGAGAAAGAAAGCTGACCAGATTCCGGACTGTGCACCCGATCTCTTCCTGGAACGAACCAATGGATGGGGTCGCAACACCGACTCTCGTACCAGAAGAGTACCGAGTAGTTTCGATGGACCCAAGCTGAAAAGAGAAAGTCAGTGGAGAGGGGAATGATGAATGGTGTTGACGATAAATAGGGGAAAGGGGGAAAGGAACAAGATCGAAGAGGATAGAGCGATGAGCAAAGGGTATAGTATAGTATTAGCAGTTGTAGTAAGGTAGGCAAGCAGAGTTAGAAAACGACCACGACGGCAGGATATAGTAGCCAAGCCAATTGAATAAGCAGCAAGCGGAGGAGAGGGGGAGAGAAGAGAACGACGGAAAGTCGAGAAAGAGACAGGAAAGGGAAAAGGGCAAGAAAAGGAACCAAAAGATCCACCGTCTGGGCCCAGAACCACAGTTTGAGCACAGTAACAGTAGTACTCAGTAACCTGGCAGTAGAGGTAGTAGTCATGTAGTCTTAACTAGGTATTCGAGTAGCTAGGTACCAGCTAGGCAATCAATCAATTCACCATATTATTTGCAGATACTTACTATGTACTACTAACTTATTGTGTGCTGTATGTACATACTTCATGTTAATGATGTTAATGATTGCTGGTGAAGTAGGTAAGCCGGTTCGCCCCCTCCCCCCTCATGATTAATTCCGAGTTGCGCGCAGAATGATGGCATTCTGATCATATCTCTCCTGCTTTTTGCCCTGATCTTCTTCGCCTTTGCCTCCTCCCGAGACGTCGTTTATTCTCTCGTTTCGCAGTGGTCTAAGATATTGGGGGGAAAGGGTAAGGGTAGTAAGTATTTGTCTCATTTCACCGCATTGTCGGGTGACTGGCAAGAGTGTAAGTTGAGTTTAGTGAGCGAGTGAGCGAGTGAGTGAGTGAGTGACAACCTTACAGCCTCTTTACACTAACAGCCAGCCACAGTAAATCCTCTAGGCCTGGGACTAGACTCCCATCTCAATTGTCTACCATACTGAAAGGAGGAAGGTCACCGATCTGGGTAGACCCGCGATCCCCCCATCTGATGTCTATGATTCGACCAACTGAGGAGGATGCATGGGGCCACGGTCTGTTTACTCGGCCGGACGGTCTGTTGAGCGCATGATAACTAAAAGAGAAAAAGGGACTGAGTAGCAAGCAAGCAAGCAAGCAAGCAAGCAAGCAGCTAGAGGTCGAGGTAAACCCATCTCTTTACCTCCCATCTCGGTACGAAGTTACACGGCTGAAGGGGGGAGATTAATGAGCATGACCCTAATGCGAGGAGAGACACTTGACTGCTCGCTCAACTTAAGCTTGACACTAACTTCTGCTGTGCTGCCAGCGAAATCAAAAATTGAATCCAAGAAAAAAGGCAAAGGACCAAAAAAAAAAAAAAAAAAAAAACTACAATGAAAAAAGGGGAATGACGACAAAAGTCCCCATGTTCGCTTAGTCAGAGTTAGTCTCCCCCAGAAATGATGGGTCAGTCCATCATCCGTCAGTCGGTTGAGCAAAGCCGAAGCCCGGCGAAAAAGCAATCTCTATATAAATCTCATATCTGCCCACCGTCTCCTCTCGGCTCATCCAATCGTGACTGATCCCTCCCTTTTCCCATCACAACCCGCCCGCATGGACGCGGTGAGGATCTTATTCCCGGCTCAGCTCCTTGAAAGTCGGACTGTTCGTTGACCTTCTCTCGCTTTCTAAACTAATCCCCTCCCCCCCCTCCTCTTTCCCCAACTCCGAACCACAGTGAGCAGAGCAATGATTTACTGGAGCACGGACTCCGAGATGAACTAGGGCAATGCACCAGCATATCACTGTACAGTATCTTCTGTTCTCTCTCGGGACGGTCCATAGGGAGAATAATAAGAAAAGAGAAAGATTTAGGTCGTCTTCAGTCTATTTGCAAGAGTCGCGAGAGGAGCGACGGGTAATATCGCGCTTCCCGGTCAGGAGAAAAACCGGATCCATTGCTCTTCTCCTCTTCCCACTTTCCCAGTTTTTCCCTGCTTCGTCTCAGCACAGTCTCTGGGACATGGTGGGGACGATTGTCGGCTTGACAGCTCAACAACTGGTTCGGAGTGGATTTTCGTCCGCTCATCTGCACTGAACTCCTCTGCTTCTGGCCTCGGTGCGAGAAGAAATACGGGCTGTATGGATGTGCGCGGCCGTGTTGGGTTGTTTCCTTTTCTTTTTCCAGGAAGCCCAGGTCCACTGGAGAAACTCCGGCTCGATGAAGCCAAGGTCTATCTGTACGCTACTGTCGGCATCGCCAGCGGTGAAACATGGCCATAGGTGGTACAGTCTAACCACCAGGGCACACACGAATCGCTCAGGGGTTGACCAGCGCACCAAACTCTCATCTGGCGGGTATCAACCGTCGTTTTTAAACAAAATTCAGTTGACAGTGGGGTGATGAGATGCTGTTGATACGGCCTGGCCTTTCAACATCGCGTGTCGAGGGGAAAAACTCTGTCAAATGGACAGGCAGAGTGGAAGGAGGTGTCTACAGCGAAATTTTGGGTGGACTAGTGTTTAGGTCCCGGGTTAGCCTTGACCCAAATCAAGGTTTCAAGTGTAGCAATGCCTACCTTCTAGAATTGAGACAGGCCCTTTTGACAGCCGGGTCGCGTTATGCACAAGTCCTGGAAGGGGTTGCCCGATCGCTTGCGACGCAAGGCAGCTAGTGAGCAGGGCTACCTAGTGTAGGAATCAGCCAGGCCTCCCAATGAGCGGCCGGGAGCCTGCTAGAACCGGTTTTTTCGTCCCTTGATGACCCCATGATGCATTGCTGGTTTACTTACCCCCCACCAACCTCTTCCCCCCAATGTTCTGCCCAGGCGAATCCATGGCCCGGGGCAACGCTTACGGCAATCGATCTCTCGTCCGACCAAATCCGGTGCACTGATTTCTGATTTCCAGAAGGATTGCTTGTTTGATAAATAGGTTGGTCCCTGCACATGTTGTCCGCTCAACCATGGTGGGTGAGAAACGAGGACTCGCCGCCAGGAAAGAAAAGCGATTGTAAACAATGCATCATGATTGCATGAAGGTCTGTTTCTTCCACAGTCCCTGTCGCTGTTCTTGGAGTGGCATGGCGCTCACCAGCCTCCGAGCAAGTTGACCAACCCATGCCCGTTCCGCTCTTACAACGTCGCCTTCAATCTTACGGATTGTGTGCAGCTCCTCGATCATCAGGTTCACCGTCTTCTCGAGATTCTTAACCATGCGAAACAGCGCAGAGCTGTCGAATCGCTCCAACTCTCCGTACCCTAGAAGATCCAGGCTTTGTAGCTGCCGCGAGCAATAGTCCAATTTCGTAGATAAAGCCGACACTTCTTCTTGCCAAGTGCGGTCTAAGGAATCAATAAAAACGCCGTCGTACATTTCGTGCTCATGGTGCAGCCGGTGGTGCCGAATCTCTTCCATCCGCTGAAACCACTCTTCAAATTTCTGCACGACCACCGTGTACTGCCCTTCCAGAGATTCCGTCACCATGTACACGTCTTCTGCAACCCGAGAAAGTATCCAAATCTGCTCCGCAAATCCGAGTGGGCCATTGTGCTCACAAGAGTTTCGAAACCAGCAATGCAGTGCGAGTCCATTGAGTTTCGTCTGATAATCTTGCTCTGCAGCGAGCGCGGCGCGGTATTTGCTGGCCACGGACTCGTAGTCCTTCCGGAGTTGAGCTTCGACATCGGCCGTCCAGGAAGTCTTCAGTTGAAGAGATGAGGAGTGCGTAAGGCTTAGTTGTAACAGCTCTGTCTGCAAGGCTGCAAGCTCGGGCCAGGATGAGGGTGATGAAGAAGCATCCGCATCCTCGGACGTGGTAGCACTCAGATTCTTTGTAGCCGGATTGACCGCCTTTTTTGACAGTAGATATTGCGGTTGGAACGATATCTGAGCTCTCGGGCGTGTCGGAGTTGTGGTGCTCGGTGAAGGTGGCTCCAATTTGGATATCAATCGGCTCACATTGAGCGTGACCCCTTGACTTCGATGACGCGCGTGGCCGCGACTGATGGATGGTGTGCTGGAGCTGGACTTGACTGGCTGTCGTAAGGAAGCAGATCGACTGGGTCGGAGCGACGGGGGAGGCATATCGGATTTCTTGGGAGATAAGGGCCGTCCATCCTGCCTGGGAGCTAGTTCTTGTTTGGAGGGGGACAAAGGACTTGGTGCAAAAGTGGCCTGTTTAGGGGTGCTTATCGTAGCGGTTGGCTTCACAGGTCCAATAGGCTTCAGCGGACTGGGTCGAATGAGGCTCTGGCGACGATTTACCCCGGTCGCTTCGCGTGTCGAGGGTTCACCTTGCTGCTGAGACCCCTTCCCCCCGGTCTTGTTCGGCCGCTGGGACAGGCGAGTCTCTGCCGGCTGTTGAATTCGAGAGGGTTTCGCAGAGCGGGCATCGTCACGGACCGGCAGAAGGCTCTTGTTTCGTGTTGTAATATTCTCATTTCCGGTGGCATGATAAGAGGATTTGCCGCCAGCTGCCGTCGAGGTTGTGGGAGGGTTGGCTTTGGTGGTAGTAGAGCGCCCAATGGTCAATGGCTGAACATTTTTGTGTTAGCAATCATGAGACAGGAGGATTGGAATAGCACACAAAGGAAAAGCATAAGGCAGAACAGATTGACAAAGGTGTTCCGAGGCCATTGCAGTCACTTGAATGAGAGAGAGGTAATAAAGGGGTGACAAAGTGCAACTAACCTTACCGGTACGGGTCTCACGTAGGGAAAGGGAGCGCGTTGGAATCGGCATGATGATGGTAGATCAAGACATTTGCGGACGCTGAGTCGACTGGAAGAAACAATGTATTCAGGATTGAGCTTTGTAGGCCGGACATAGCCTCTTCTACACCGATGTAAATGGTGCTTGGGGGGAGTCGCAGAGGTGGAGGTCCGAGTTCAGCTGAAGGCGGCAATTCCAGGCGGGGGCAGCTGCGGTGAAGGTTCCGCATAACCAGTGGAAGCTTGGCTCACTGCAGCCCGATGAGCACCCCTAACAAGGTTCAAGGTTGTTACTACGCACGTTTGGTCGAAGTTGGTTACACTTGAACTGCTACTTCAGGAACTGGAACTTGTACTGTACCTATGATGGATCTCATGATAATCATGACCCTTGATCTTTTTAATCAACGACTGTAGTGACCATACAGAGCTTCAGATTTCGTCTGCCAAATACTGGGGCCTATTCACGTGATTGTAGCATTCGTCCATTCATTGAGAAGCGGTCTGTGATATCCACAGGATAACAACACAAACTTTTCCTGAAGTCTAGAAGGGAAACTCGCAGATACAAAAGGCGGAACAAGTCATCCAGTCCTAGCGACAACGCTTATCAAACTCCCAGCCCCATCCACTTCCCTCAGTCATTTCCAACACGAAACTGCAGAAGTTTCCCACACCTGTTGCAAAAGCGCAATCACCGATAGCTATCGTATCCCTCGTATCCCTCACATTACCTGTGCACGTAGGTCTGATCGAATGAAAACAATTTGGGTCATGTGCGCCCATCGACTACAAACTGCCACGTCTGGGGAAGGCGACGCCCTCAATGGCCGCATGGTCAGTGAACCAGCTGACTTTCTCACCGGCACCCTGGTTGACCAATGAGGACGGCAAGTCTCTTCCTTCCTCGGCATCAAAAATTTGCTTCATGATATCCTTCTTTCCACCTCCAGTCGCGATAAATGCGATGTTGAGAGCGTGCGTGACCACCGGAAGAGTAAGGGTGATGCGCTTCGGGGGCGGCTTAGGTGAGTCGCTGATGGCTGCCGTCCAAGCATCCTTCTCTCTGAGAAGCTCGTGGCCAGGGAAAAGACTGCAGGTGTGACCATCAGGCCCGCACCCCAAGAGGATGAGATCGAAGACAGGCAACTTCACACTGTCTTTGGCCGCAAAGGAGCGCATGAGGTCCTCCTGATACAGGTCGGCCAGCTCCTGGGGATCCTCATCATTGACATGAGCGGGGTCGATCGTATGCACGGTGGGAGCCCCAAGTTCCGTTGGAATCTTATCGAGCAGTTCGTCCTTCAACAAACGGTAGTTGCTGTCCTCGTGGTCGAGGGGTACGGCGCGCTCATCGGCAAAGAAGATGTGCCACTTGGAGAACTGAGCAGTGTCTTCTTCGGACCCATTTCCAGGCGTGAGGAGAGCCTGCGCCAGCACCTTCGGCAAGGAACCACCAGAGACAGCGACACGGAAAGTGCTGTGACGACTCAAGGCGGAGTTCTGGATCCGGAGGACGTAAGGCCTCAGTTGCTGGGCCAAAGCATCGGTATTCGCAAAGCTGTAGAGATTAGGGGCGGAAGCAGCCATTGTGAAAGGCAAGCTGTAGCTTGTAGGGGGGAAAAGGGCGATATGGAAAAGAGAGAGGTTGGAGGGAAAAGGATAATTGATCTGCCCGAGCGAGAATATGGGGTTGGG